GACTTTAATCTCATTGCCTTTCTTGAACCAAGATAGAAAATAAGGATGTGGATGGTTCTCTACCGGAAGGTTGAGTTTAGTCACCACTTCTTGAGAAACCATGTTCTCCCAACTTCCACTGCCAACGCTCATGTTACAAACATGTCCACTAATGTTGCAAGTGATATAGAAGATATTAGTGTGCAACCAACCTTCTTAGCTCTCTAGCTTTGGTGATAGAAGCATCTTCTTCAACATAAGAGCAAGACCCTCTTCTTCATCACTATCACCACCAATTTCAACATTCCTCAAATTGTCAAAAATTAGAGCATCCTCATAGTTACCATGTTCCTCAACTTCTTCAATGAGAATTGCCTTGTTCCAATTATTGCCCATGTTCTTGCAGCAATCGGAAGATCTATGTCCTGGTTCACCACACTTGAAACACTTGAAGGTTCCACCTTGAGGCAAATTTGATTTCCGAAAGCACCATTAGAATGAGGAGTTTGAGAGGAAGAAGCACCCTTGTCCATAAACTTGGAAAAAGGACTAGCTTTGGCAAACCTAGAAGGGGAAGGACCCAGCCTAAAACCACCTCGAAACCCTCCTTGGGGGTATTGTCCCATTTGGGAAGCACGACGGCTTTGTTGTTTCTCCACAGCTAAAGCTCGATTATAGGCTTTGAAAACATTCCACAATGTATGCAAGGCAAGAACATATTGGATTGAAGGCTCCAAATCACTCATATAACGAACCACCCGTTGTTCTTCACTCTTATTTAAATCAACCTAAGCAATGAGTTGATGATAGAAAGATTTCGTGTATTCTCTAACACTTCCAACTTGCTTGAGGACATAAAGGTTTTGGAATACACTTCGAAGATAGTTTAACGGTATGAAATTCTCCTTCAATTTCTTCATCATCTTCTCCCAATCATGGATTTTCTCTTTCCCACTTTGTCGACGACTAAGTTGAAGTTCCCACCAAGCGGAAGCCCTTCCTCTTAGTTTGATTGCAACTAGCTTGACTTTCTTCTCATTGGAAATCTCTCCTTAGTCAAAGATATGCTTAATAGTGTTGAGCCAATCCATGAACTTGTCACGATTAGGGCTTCCATGGAAGTCGGGGAATTCAATTTTGACATTGTTCTCCCACTCTTGTTCCAACTTCCAATTTACCCACATTCACTCAACGCCTTTGCAAAGCCAAAAAATATTATCAAAAGAGTGATGAGTACCACCCCCGGTATCATCGGCACCATCACTACCATTGGTAGGAGGTAGGAGACGTTGCACCGTCTCTATTAAAGCAGCAATTTGCCTTCTCGTCTAGGCCATTTCATCTCTTGGATATGGAACCCCATTATCCCTTCCAACTGGAGGATTGACCTCGGCATCATCACCCAAATTTGGAGCATAAGCCCTACCACAACTACCCGTATGACCTTCACCTCGTTGGGCTGTTGAAACCCCAAATGTTCAAAATCACAAACCCAATTTGACCAACCAGTTTCAAAAACTCAGTGTTAATCAAAGAAGAGATGGACCACAATAATAGTCAAATTCCAATCTACCAAACATACAACAACAACAACCGCAACCGCAACTGCAACAGCAGACATCGGATTGCCTCAAAAGCAACTGCAATCAAAGGGGATTCTCTAGAATGGATTCAAAACAGTCCAGTAAAGGAAAAAGAGTGATCAAATTACTTCAATCAGATGCGAAATCCAAGAAAAAATTCGAACAAGAATCAGCAATCGCAACAGTTCCCAATTCGAAAGCCAAATTATCTCCCTTGCAAAGACCCATGTCTCTGGAAAATGGGTCACAATCTTCAAATAGAACCCAGAATTCAGAGTTTCAAACAAGATCCAGGAGCTGCGAACCAGATGCAAATGAAGAAATCTGGTCAGTTTGCAATTTCAACTTCGATTTCAGAGAGAGAAATCAAATCACGATACAAGAAACAGAGATCAAATCGCAATCGCCCCCTGGTTTCCTAACAAATTCAAACCAAACTCAGGGCTTTGAACTTGAAGACAGGCTTCGACTCAGGCACAGAAATCAGATTGTGCTCATCAAATGAGTTACGAACTCAGATCGCTTGATCCCCAGGTGCCATGACTAAGACTCCAACTGTTTGTTGCGACACAAATTGAACCAGGTCAGTTTCTAGATGATGATTCAACTAGAAAATTAGGAGGAATAGTGAAAAGATAGGATCCAAATCCCTATGCTCTGATACCAAAATGATGGGATCCAAGAACAAGAGAGAATTTAAAGAGAGGAACCCTAAGGTTCTAGAGAGAGAATATCTCTAATCAATCATACAAAAATCTCTAATTCACTAGATATAAGCTACCAACTACCCACCCACTAACTAAACATCACATGCTAGGCACATGTCCTACATCAGATTGCTACCAAGTTCGAGGAAGTTTCATTCTCGCTAAAGCGACCTCCTCAAGCACAAAACATAATTAGTGCATAAACGGTCTTCCCAAATATTCTTGACACAGAATCACAATGGCACTGTATCTAATTGACTCTGCTAGCCAAAGTAGAGACAGGGGGACTCACTGTAATAATGTGACACCACGAGAAACCTTCATCTTCATATGAATCATGAGGCAATAAGCTTGATCACCTATATTAATCTTAATCCCACTTCATTCATATATGGAGACAAGGCAGGGAGGGAGGCCAATACCCTCTCACAAGCCCAGGCCCCACACACCCCAAAATAAATAAATAAATAAATAAAATACTCTCTTCCTGGCACAGGAACTGAACTGTTTTACCTGTCTTTTTTAGAGCTACTATATTTAAAGAGGGTAAAATGAACATTGTATATATATATATCAATTCCAACATGCTCGAAGTGTTCCGGTGAGCAGTTCTGGACTTGCTCTTCAATGGCATCCTCAGGTTATGTTTGGCATACCCACTTTGGGCTAATTTAGCCACATGGGACAAAATTGGCTACTTTAGCCACAATCTTCAAACCTTGCTCACGTGCTTGGGCAGCTGCTGCAGGCAAAGCCAAAATGACCAAATTATCACCAGTTTCATTACCTTCATTTCATCTCTCACAATGGGTGAAGGGCATTTTTGTAATTTTGCTTATGGACACATCATTCCCAAGTCAAAAAGTCAAAAAAGCCAAAAAACTCATCCCAAATGAGGCTTTTTAGCCCAGGCTAAAATAGTCAAAAAGTCAGAAAGCCAACCCACATCCCAAACAAAGGCTCAGTGTCAAAAGTCACTCTCTTTTTTTTTTGCATATAAGGTTTCAAGAATCATGTTCACATGCTTTCTACATTACACGGACTCTTTGAAATTTGGGAGGTACCTGTGTCGACACGACACGACACGTGTACAGGTGTGGGATACGGCCAGGATACGGCTCTTTACAAATAGATACGGCTCTATTTTGCCCTAAATGCAGAAGAAACGAAAGAGAGAACAAGGAGAGAACCTGTCGTTGAAATCGATCCTCTGTTCAACGACTTCGACAAGTGTGGCTGCTTCGATCCTCTGTCACTGGCTTCGACTTCCCCTTCGACGTCAAAGTCAAAGTCAAAGTCGAAGTCGAAGTCGAAGTTGAAGTCGAAGTGCGATCTCGATCTCGTCTTCCTTACCCGTACTCATGTCGATCTCCTGTTCTGCGATCTCGATCTCGTCTTCCTTACCCGTACTCATGTCTCTCTCTCTCTCTCTCTCTCTCTCTCTCTCTCTCTCTCTCGATACGACTCTTTACAAATGGATACCACTCTATTTTGCCCTAACTGCAGAAGAAATGAAAGAGAGAACAAAGAGAGAACCTGCCGTTGAATTCGATCCTCTGTTTGACGACTTCGACAAGCGTTGTTGCTTCGATCCCCTATCGCTGGCTTCAGCTTCCCCTTCGACGTCGAAGTCGAAGTCGAAGTCGAAGTGTGGTCTCGATCTCGTCTTCCTTACCCGTACTCATGTCGATCTCTTGTTCTGCGATCTCGATCTCGTCTTCATTACCCGTACTCATCTCTCTCTCTCTCTCTCACCCCATTACTTTTAAAATAATAACTTTATAAAGATAATAATTTCATTTTAAAATATTTTTATGTTGTATTTAATTAATTAAATATTATTTAAAATTTTATTTGGATAAATGTTTAACATGATAATTTAATAAATATTTTTTAAAAATAACTACTTTCAGTATCCCTGTATACTCCATTTTCAGTTTTAAGGTGTCCAACCCCTAGATATGCACCCATACTCAATACAAGTACCCGAGTCCGTGTAACATAGCATGCTTTCATTTGGCAAATCTTACACGCAATGGTTAGAAATCGTACTACTCGATAAATTTATCTAAGAAAAATTGAAATCAAGACTAAATGAATGAAAAAAAGAAAAAGAGCATCTGAGAAGCACTCGTCTTTAAAACCCATAGCTTCAATATGAATATAAACGAAAAATATAGTGGAAATTTCAGTTTAGAGGGAGTTTTGAAAAATATTTACAAATAAGTGGTAACTTTATAAAAATTGATAATTATACTCATAAACTTTTTCACAAATTTGTCATAATTTTATAAAATTTTCACTGAATAGTAATTTCCCCATAAATATAACCTATACATGGTTTTCAGCTACACAGCAATAAAGCAAAAGCCAAAAACAAGACTAAATGAATAAAATAAAATAAAAATGAAAAAATGAGAGCATCTGAGAAATAGCACTTTTAAAACCTATACCTTGAATATGATAAAAGGAAAAAACACAACCTATAAATGGTTTTCTGCTACACTGCAACTGCAGTAATCAAAGTTAAAGTTAAAACAAAACCAGAATAACCATACTCATACTCGCAAACTAAATTCCAAAACATAAAAGCAACTGGAAAGAGCATTCGCATCATGACACTTAATTTTCCAGTAATTCTACCAATTAATTGACAGAATAACTAAGACATCAAAAAAGAACTTGCAGATATACCAACTTAAAATGAAACATCGGTTAACATTAACACAACCTTAGGGCTTGAGCAATTTCTTTTTTCAGATCCTTCTCAGGAGGAAGCCTTCCTTTTAGTACTCCTTTAACTCTTTCTTTGATTTCATCCATTCTACAAAGTAAAAAGATACGTCAGCTCCACGAAAAAAAATACTAGACAGAAAGAAAGGATCAGAAGAATACACCAAAGCAAAACAAAAGCACAGCAGAAGGGATTAGAGAGAGAGATTTGACTTGCATCTTTTTATGCTTTTTTTTGTGATTTTCCAACTCTGCCTTCTTTAAAGACAGTTTAACTCTGTCCACAGAATCAGCAGCCATGATATCTTTCTCACGATTAAGAGATTTAATTTCTTGCTCAATAGTGTATATCTCAGTCTGCTTCTGGCGTCTAGTTGAGTCAAATTTCCTTTCAGCAAGTTGGTTTGCCTTTCTCTCAACCATAATTTTCTGCAAAGATAAAAGAAAGTTTTCATTACATACAATAATAATGTAATCAGCCAAAATCAAGCTTCTGAAACCAAAGAAAAACAACTGAGAAAGGGCATCATTACCATGTCCTTTTCTTTCTCATCAATGTCAGTCAGATTCACGTTAGAAATTTGCAGTTCAAATGAATCACGTTCATTTTCCTTCTCTTCAATACGTTTTAGAAGACCACTCTGCATGTAATTAGAAGTAAAGATATGTAACACAGAAATAAGAACTGGAAGGAGTAAGAGCATGCATCCTTAATCACAAACCTTGCTGTCAACTTTAGCTTGTTTTCGAGCCTCAGTGTCTTTCCACTGATCATTTGCATCCATGTAGCGATCCCATGCCACCTTAAGTTCTAATTCATTTGATTTCTGAAATAGTAACCTTCCCAGTCAATGACCATCACCACAGACGACAATGTGCCCAAATATACAAAAATATAGAAACAACCACATATAAAGCAACAGATGCATGTGACTTTCCCAAAGTGATGAAAATTCAGATTGTGATTTAAGTTGAAACAGTTTATTTAAAAAATAAATAAACAAAAGAGCAAGAATAAAAGAAGGAAATAAAAAAGACACTTTTATCCAAAAAAGTAGAGAATAGTCCATTTAATCAAAGAGCATTTAATAAAACAAGTGAACTGCTAAATATGTAGAAGTGAAATACAAGCCATGGACATGAGAAAAAGACAAAGCAAATTCCAATGCTTTCCAGCTGGAGAAATGCCAGTTTGTTCCATCAGGACACTGACAGATCATCAAGAAAGTGTGAATCTTCAAAGATAAAGTTTGCACGCTCAGAAAGTACTGAACACGTAATGCACAGATGTGAGACAATGTTCTTGCAAACATTTTGAGCCACATCTATGTCCCAGTCTGCGAAATTCTCTCTGCGCGAGTAGCATGGCTGATTTTCTAAATACCTTTATGGCTGAGATGTGAGGGTCTGTGTTACATGGACTCGCCAGTTCAGGGGGGGAGCACCCGTGTCGACACGACACAATACATGTGTGTGCGCGAGATCTGTGTCGGACATGGCTCTGTTATCTTGGACACGTCTAACTTTGGGCAGAACTCCATACAAAAGAACTTCTAGGTAACGAGTGTGAAAATTGTTCCATACCTCTGAAAATTCACCGGAGAGGAGAAGGTGTGTCACAGTCAAAGCTCACTGTGTCGTCAACAAGCAACTCTCTCTCTCTCTCTCACCAAATGGATTCTTATATTTAATATATATATATATATTTAATACAACACAAATATGCACAACTTTTTATGATAAATATGCAGTGCATCATGCGAATAAAGCAATCTGCAAACTGCAGTGTATGTTCTGTGACATAGGTATAGACTAGGTACAATTTTTTATGTTATCAATGAAAGAAGTATATTAGTATTATATAATCAAATAGAGACAGTTGAGTTTTTTTTAAGTCGAGAATGTCATCAGGTGTGACATCATCATATTTGCACTTGGAATTGTAATTTGATGATATGATTCCAATTTCTTTGCCACTTACCTTTCAATTTGCAAGCAACATCAGTTTCACTTGCAATGAGCTTCAAATGAACATCAACTTACAAAAAATAATTAATTTCTTTAAGCATTATTTTTTTTAGTATTAATTCATTTCCAACCCCTCCCTCCTAATTCAACAATATATAGAATATTTAATTTTAATGTATATATTAATATGCTGTGACCCCGTATCCTTATTAAAGTTTTGGATGCTTTTTAGTTGAGTCCCTGTATCCTATAATTGAGAGAACATGCGAATCCGACTTCTGGACACGTATCCAAATCTGACTCTCTTACCAAGTCCATGTAACATAGGTGAGGGTCAAACACAAAAAATGGAACAAACATGAGTATAATATCAAATTTAGCTAATAACTTGCAGCAACGCGGGTCCTAAACCCGACTTCAACTCTCTAATTAGACCTACTTGTATTGTTTTCAGATCCTTTGGAGTGTTGGGTTGTTAATTTTCTATTTCAAAGATCATTATTGTTGTGTTGAATCTTGTTTATCATTTGAGTCGTCCCATGTTCCAGTTTTGGGATTTAGAACATCATTTCTAGACTTAGAATTGAGATTTCAAGAAGGTCACCAACCAGAGTGCTCGGCACATGCGGTGGGTTGGGCCTGTGATGGAATCCAAGGACAAGAGAGAGAAGGAACCCAAAGGTTCTAGAGAGAGAGAATATCTCTAATCAATCAATTATCATATATCAAACTTAGTTACAAAACGGTCACTACTAGATATAGGCTATCAATTAACTACCCACTAACTAATCACATGTTAGGCAGATGATGTCCTACATCATACTCTCCCACTTGAAAGAATTTGTCCTCAAGAAAAGATGAAAAAAATACAACCAATGTATAAGAAATGAAACGCAATACTAGACAAGTACAATACAAACAAATCCCATAAGGAAGCTAGTCTACAATAAGGGAACCAGTGTTGGTGCAAGAAGAATCCGGCAAATAAGGCACAAGATGTGGCACATTGAATGTGTTGGAAACTCCCAAATGAGGAGGTAATTTGACTTGATAGGCATTGTCATTGACTTTGTTCAACACTTCACACTTTCATTGCTCAGTACAACTCAAACAAGATCCCCCACTTTGAATAACACTTCAAATAACACTCTCCTTTATGTGAATCAACGGCCACTTTGTATTTGGCATTGGACTTTTCAATTTGGGACTTCATTTGAGCATGAACATTCTTCATGAATGCAACCATCTCCTCAGCTTTGACACTTCCTTTCCTTGAAATGGGTAAAGGAACCCAAGTCCACAACACTTGAGGGTTTCATCCCATAAACCACTTCAAAGGGAGAAGTGTTAATGGTGTGATTGAGTGACGAGTTGTAAGCAAACTCAGCTAGGGGAAGAATGGCATCCCAACTCTTGGGATGATCTCCGATGAGACACCTCAACAAGTTACCAAGACTTCAACTTGAAGCTCGAGTAACCAGCTTAAGGGTGTGATAGAATATCACCCTCTATTTATAAAATGAAGATTAGGGTTTACAAGAGAGTCAATTACAAGATAATCCCTGAGGGCACAAAATGATTACAGACAGACCTTAGTGAAACTTTCGGCTAATATAATACGCTAACACTCCCCCTCAAGCTGGTGCGAAGATATCTCTCATGCCCAGCTTGCCTAATATGTCATGAAATGGTTTATTCCCAATCCCCTTGGTGAGAATGTCAGCAAGTTGTTCACCAGACTGGACAAAAGGAGTACAAATGGTACCACTAGTGAGTTTCTCCTTAATGAAGTGGCGATCAATCTCAACATGTTTTGTCCTGTCATGTTGAACGGGATTGTGAGCGATGTTGATGGCGGCCTTATTATCACAGTATAACCGCATGGAGTCCGTCTGATCAATACC